TGTTCTACTTTGTGGTCAAAAATACATTTGCCTTTTTTGATCCACTTTCTTTTCACTAATCATACTTCTGTTGATAAATATATTTTTACGCATTTGGGTTGGAAAGAATTAACCCCACCTGTGGGTTAAGTTATAACATTTGCACCAAACTTTCAGCTGAACTGTTCACAGAAGCTGGAAACAAAGTTTTAATCTGTAGCAAAAATATGTTGAGTGATTGCAATTCTAAAAAATCCTTATCTTCCTCAAATGCCTTTAACATTACTATGCAAAAACCGAAATGTGTTTCCGCTCTCTCCAACTTGTTATTCCCAGTTTGATCTGAGGTATACTAGTGGAATTTTTCTAAATGGGCAAAAGAAAATACTGTAAATAGGTTGATGGCTTCATCATTCAAGACCTAACATACTATAATATCTAATATACTGTCCCATAATACAAGAGTCCACCCTAAAATAGTTTAGTTAAATTAGAAAAGTGGTGAGTGGAACACAAGAACGGCTCTCTCATTTAAGACCCATGACCTGCATATTCCAAAAACACCATAATATCTAATAATAATAGCCATATTACATGAACTAGACAGAAATAATTGACCCAACTTTACTTAAAGGGGTATTCCACCAATTTTCTTTCAAAATTTCTGAATAATTCAGTCCTTGAGATGTAAACAGAGACATTCAGAGTGGTTTTATGTGAAATAGTTACTTGTAGAGAAAGTTACAGAGTAAGATTTCTTTACAGTGGTGGTGATAGGAACCAGAGATCACCATGTCCACAGCACAAATATAGCCATTTTATTTACTATCCAAAACCAGCAGTGAACCTACATGTGCCTTCTGAGTTTTCATATAGTTTTTATATGTAATGTTGATGGTGTTAAAATACAAATCTGAAAGAAAAAAAAGTTTTTTGGGAACTATTTTGCCTTACAACACCCTGCATGTACCCCTCTGCCATTAATGGATTAAAATGAACAGATTAAAATACATTTTAAGCCTAAACTTTATCACAAAACTATCATAAAACAACATGTCAGACATTAGCCAGCATATATCTAACCATTTCATGTAGTAACTTTTTGTGAGGGACCTTTCAGAGGCATTAAACTTTTCAGACGTCTGGTTCCTATCACCACCATTATGAACAATTCTGACTCAAGTTTCTCTAGAATGGAGCATTTCACGTCAGACCACTCTGACTGACTTTGTTTACATCTTATCCATTTATGTAGAATTTTTGAAAAATTTCGTTTGAATTCCCCTTTAAGACTCAGAACTGTCCCCACTAAGCTACTACTTGTATCCATAATCAGTTCTACACTGAAGCCCTCCTGCTGTCTCAAAAGAAGGTACAACAAGCCCGACTACATAAATTGGACAGTGCCACGCGTGGTCCTGTGAGTAGAAACCCCCCTATTGAGCTCCAAGAAGTTCTTCTGTGCTGCTGGACCCCTTTTGCTCATGTGTGCTCAGTTCGGTGCAGTGACACTAGCATGACATACAAAGCCACTTACCCCATTTCGTTGAAAATACTGGATCTGTTAACTGTTTCCCCTCGCCCCCCCCCTCAGTGAGGGACCACCACAGCGGAGCTGCAGAATAACGCAGAGCCCAGCACTCCTTTCCCCGCTTTAGTGGAGAATTTCACTGCTGACGGCAGGACAGACAGTCCGTTTAGCACGTACACTAACGACGGTCACACATGAGGCGAGACTTTAAACTAAAAGCCTGGCTAGTACGAGACCATCCTGAGCAGCAACGTGGAGGGGAATACTGAACATCTTGTAGGGACTTCTTCCCCTCTTTTTTCTGTCTTTTTGGCTGCACTTCAGTAACCTTGCGGTCAGCTGCGAACTCCCCCCGCAGGATTCTGTAAGAAATTCCCTCCCGGAAGCGCTGCGGTGTGAAACTCCTGCTTGTTTCCACTCGCTTTGCAGCACCGCGGTAGCTGTACTTCACAACTCGTTTCCCCGGCTTTGCCGTCGTGTTAAGCCGAAGCGCCGCGGTTCCGTCGCCGCCTTTTAAAGGCGCTCGGATGCCCCCTGCTGGACAAGGCAGGTAAGTGCTGCGGCGACGGAATCCTGCCAACGAGGCCTGGACAATTTGAGCAGTGAATCCAAACACCTCCTGCCCTCTAGCGTTTCTCTCTCCATATCGATTGGGTGCTCATGAAGACATTATGGCACAGAGGTGGTGCAGAATGTGCTAATGAGACGAGATTCAAAACGTCCAGACTATAGATTAGTTAAACCACTGATTCAGCCCTAATCCATACTTGATGCAGTAAAACAAAGTAAACTGATTAAACTCCAATTCAGACAGGATATAGCACAACAGACTGATTTAGGCCCAGTTCATGCCTGATAGGGCAAAACAAAATAAGCTGCGTCCAGTTTAGGACATATGCAAAACAAAATTCAGACTACTTCAGATCCAAAGTTTAGGCGTAACACCGTAAAACTAAATTCTAACAATTTCTAAACAAATATAGAGGGGAAAAAAAGATTTGGCCTAGTTTTGGCCTGATAAAGTCAATTCAGGCCCACTTTAGACCTATACGGTTAAACAAAACTCAAACTGATTCAGGCCCAGTCGCCCCGCCCCCCCCCCGGTGGAAACCAAAAGAGAAAAGATTTGTGTCTAGTTCAGGCCTGAGACAATAACCACCACATAACATTATTTTAAAAATTACAAAACTGCAGGGGCTACAAGGACTACAGGACTGCAGTTACACAGATGGAGTGAAGTGCTGAGGACCACATGACTCAATTTGAGGAAATGCAACAATATATATATATTTTTATAATCCATGGCACAATAAATGTTTTACGTATGAAATTAAGATTACATCACACACTATTGTGATTGGTCCGAACGGGTTTCCATTCTTTTTTCAGACTGCAGGAATCTTCACATTTGTTAGACACTATTCAAAAGTGAAGCAACCAGTCTTATTTGTGTGAAATAAAGCAACATTTATTTCTGTAACATTACAAGAATTACGTACTGTAGGGGGAAAAAAAACCTTCCATTAAACGAAATCTTGTCTCTGGTGATTCAAAACCTCTGATTCATTTTCAGTGTCAATTTATCCTTCCCTCAGGTGGGTGAAGGTACTGCTGGCACCCCATCAGTATTCATTCTCTAAGTTTTAATTTCACTGAATGCAACCTCAACAAGTAGTCAGCTCACAGCTGAGTGTGTGACACTGTCAAGTTTCCCTTCAGGTGAAGACACAGTCTTTCTATCCCACCAAATAAACAACCTTCATACTGCAGGGATTTGCTTGGGTATTTTTTGCTGTAGGCCATGTCATATGAAGAAATTAATAAACCTTATTTAATCAATGACATGTTTACAAAATTTGGTTTGATTGCAAAGACGACTGAAGTAAAGAAATCCTGACTAATTCAATCGTACGAGAGGAATTAATTTCTTTAAAAAGTTGAGAACATGAGAAAGGCATGTCTTGGATATTCAATTTCCTGAATATTCAATATCCTAATCTCTTAGATTTACAGTCTACATTGAGGTTAGATAGTACAAACGGGGAGAATAACCATCAATAAGACAAGCACTATGCACACAAGCAGTGAAAGTTTTCTAGATGTTCAAACTTTTTTTTGCAACTGGTGCATTGGTTAGGAATCCATTGCGTTTATCTGTTGGGCAACGAAAACTGAAAGAGTTTCAAATGAACAGTGGGGTAAGGTGTTCCAGGTTAGAGCTGAGACTGATGGTAGCAAAGTAAATTCAAACAGATGCGATACTAGGCATGGAATAACAGCAAGGCATGAATATTCCTGGTTTCAGTAGGATGACAAGGCGACCATCAAGGGTTGTTGCAGTAAAGCTATAAATGAGCACAACTTAAAAAAGAGCAAAAACTAGGCAAAACATGACAATTACTCTTGGATTGTGATGAACAGCTGAAAGTAGATAATGTGGTACACCTCACATTCATAAAGACTACAAAATGAAATATGTGCATGGTGCTAACAAATCAATAGACGGTGGGGAAAGAAAAAAAAACAAAAAACTAAGGAACAGAAACAAGACAGAAAAAAAAAATGATAAAACTACTACTAATCACAAAACAAAAGAGGGACAGTTAATAAGGAGGCACATACACACACCTCCGTAGCAGAACACTACTGTCTATGCACACTGGCATCCAAAGTTAAGCAAGAGACAAGAGCACAGCAGCCTCTTTTCAGTCTGCTCGTGGGAAACAGACACAAACAGAGAGAATCTCACCCGTCTGCCCTTTCAGTCTCCTTTAACAAATAGCCACCACTGCGACTCTGGTGATTCTGGGCTATTTTGTTCTTGTATGGTCACTCTGCCATTATGGGTCAAATTCACAAATGTGGCTAGTTCAATCCAAGAACTCAACAGAGTCAGATATCAGCATCGGTCAACCTGGATTTATAAAGCACGTGGGGTGGTTTAAGGGGGGGGAAAAAGGAAAGGAAATTCAACCTTGGTTTTGCGACTCTGCCTGTTAGCAGAAGCATCCTGATTTTTGGCACAGTACTGAAGCCCTAGAAACATGACGAAGTCTAGCTGCCCAACTCGCTATAACTGCTCCTGCACGCTACAGCAACGGTTTGGATCTTCCTACAGCTTCAGATCATTCGTTTAACTCTCTTTGAACCCATAACATCTCTCTCCGACTTCAGTTTCCTGTACTCCAGTGAATGTGCGAGGGTGTTTGTGCGAGTTGAAAACATGGCGGCTTTACCGTGGGCTTTTATGCGTTATTTGGCTCATTGTCTGGTGGGCCTGTGACTGCAAGTTTGCTATGTAATCCCAGTATGGAGAAATCAACAAGCCATTCAACTGCCATGTCTAAATCAACAAACGCTGTTCTACCGCATGTTCTATTCTACATTAACAAAATACATTTAAAATAAAGAGGAAAGAAAAAAAAGAAAATTCTCTCAGCCCTTCCATGTCTGCTATTCAGATACAAATCTTTAGCCTTTATTTAAAAGAGAATTCCCAAAGCCCCTTTTTAAAAGACTCCCCCCTCTTTCCTTTTTTCTGTTTGTGAATCACCCAGAGCAGAGTCTCACAGCAGAGAGCAAGTGACATCTCTCACAGGCTCTCATTCCTGAACCTCTACTCCACAGACTTCAGGCAGAAAACTTTCCTCAAAGTTGAGCTGAATCCTTCTTTAGTGACTCCTGGCACCGTTTTCAGAGATGAAACCACCACCAACAAAAAGAAAAAAAAACAAAAAACAAAAAAAAACAAAACAAAACAAAAAAACAAAAATAAATAACACAAGCATCCTCCGTTGATTTTTCCCCATTCTCAAGATGTCCGGTGGCAGTACCTGAATGTCAGATCTCAACTTTGAAGGGAAAATTTTCCCAGAATCAGCTGCTTGAAAGCGTTTTTTTTAATATATATTTTTCTTTTTTTGAAAGACGTCACCCCCTCTTTCAGCTTGTGGAGACGACAGAGCAAGCTTGGTATTTTTTGCAGGTAGTTTTATAAGAGAACTTCGTCTTCTCTCCGTCTCGGGTGGCAGAGCGAGGTCTGCGGCCGCCAGCTGCAGCCTGGCAGCGAGAGAGAGGAGGCAGGGGAGGGGCCCCCCTGCTCCCCAGGAGGCGCCTCGACTTTGCGGAGTTGCAGATCGAAGATCTCGTTTGTTTTCTCTCCCACATCGTCTCCTCCTACGCTGCGTCTCCTCCTCTCTCCTCCTTCCCCAGCCTTAGTGAGTGGTGAGGTGATTTCCCCCTCCACTCTCTCTCTCGTTCTCTCTTCCTGTCCTGCTTTTCTCCCTCTTTTTTCACTCATGTGATTGGTTTGATTCTCTCCTGTTGCTCTCACACCATGGTGCTTCAGTTGTAACAGTGGAAAACGGGCATCCATGTTTGTTCTTTTTTAATATTTACCCAGATTTAAAATGCTGATGAACTAAGCTCAGCATAGGCCTAGCTCCCGTTCCAACAACCTGAGGACACAGGGAAAGAATTCCATCAGCATTTCATCTACACTAAGGTGTCATAAAGTATGCTTAATACAACTCCACTCCACTTGTACTGCACAGTATATTGTTTTCTCTGCACCTGTGATATCACTGAGTGACATTATCTATCATCAGTTTCCTTAGTTGAATTAGGGTTGTTAGATCAACAAAAACACATCATGGTGCAGTACGTGGGCCTAAAAGCGGGAGATAGGAAACCTTAAATTATTCATATTACTGTTTGTTAGGGCTGCAACTATCAAATATTTTCAGTTTAATATATTCTTAAGAATAGTATGTTGAATATTTGAAAATTCTTTAATAAGAAAAGCTGAAGACTTTTAATTTTAGTAACTGAATGTAAAAAGAGTTTTAATCGTTCTGTTATTTTAATTATTATTGCATAAATTCTATTTATGTATTTGATTTTTAATTAAACCTAACTAAAAGAGTATGATAAGAAGTAAGTTTCTGGTCAACTATTGCCAATGAACGAAGGAGGGCTCCAAGTCTTTAAGCCACTCAAAATTGCTTTATACTGGAGTATGCGCCAAGCTCAGCCATGTTGGCTTTAACTTGTGGTGCAGTCGAATAATTAGCACGCTCGCATTTATGCACGCCCTGCGATGGACTGGCGACCTGTCCAGGGTGTATCCTGCCTTCCGCCCAATTACAGCTGGGATAGGCTCCAGCACCCCACCGCGACCCAGAAGGATAAGCGGTTTGGATGATGTATGTATGCATGCATGCATTTATGCACTGTAAAAAATGCAACTGAGAACGTTAGCTAGCTATCAATCTGGAGCAGTAGAAAACTGCTATTTTTCTGAGCGCACGCAGAGTTAAGATACTGTCTCTCAAATCAGACAGGAATGGAGCCTTGCAAGCCATGCCAAATCACAGCCTAAAATGTATCAGGTGTGCAGAGCTGGACACTGTGCTACAGGTGACAAGATAGCATTTAGCTCAATAAACAAGTGTGCATTATCCCACAGCATTTATTGAATATAATGAATATTTGTTGCAGCTCCACTCTTAGCCTGCTCTCTATGGCATGCATAGAATTCTTTTTATCTCTCTTACACTCTAGTACTGAGAGAGTCCGGTCACTCCTCCGTGTTGGTATGCCCGTTCACCCTGGTATGTGGAATCCTGGGACAATGCCACGTCCATCTGCGACTTGAACTCATCACCCAGGTAACTGTCCTGTTAAGCAAAGAAGGAAAGAGGAAAAAAGAACCAAAAAAATTAGATCTTCTGAGTATAGGCCTGTATGGAAAAAAGACAGTGAGGGCTCAGATGTGGACAACATGATAAGTATGCATGTATGAATAGGGAGCTGCACTGTGTGTGTGTGGAGACAAATGCATGCCTATGTGTATGTACACACATTTGCTGTCAAGGACAGTTGATAAAAAGATTGTGTGCGTACCTGAGAGAGTTCAGGCTGGGACAGGCCTGGCTGGCTCATCTGTGAGGGCTGGCTCATAGTGATATACCCCTGGGTTAGGGGGCCCTGGGAGAAGGGCTGAGACACCAGGTCCTGGCTGGCCTGGCTGCTGGCCATGTTGGCCTGCCCACTGCCATGGTTACCCACGCCACGGTTCCTTTGACGACCCCCACGTCCACCCGTCTTACCCTTCGGAGCTCCACGGCCTGAGTCGAAAAGAGAAACATAAATACATAGCGCTAATAATCACTACTTTCATTCATTTGAGGCACTGGAAACAACATCCTAAACCAACAGACACACTAGATGCACCTCTTAAAACCAACAGTTCATCGTGGACTCAGTTCATCTGGTAACAGTAAAATCTGTTCAAACATACAGAGCTTTAAGTCTAAATACAGCCACTCCTAAGGTAGCCATGCCTCCATCAGTACTGGTAAACAGGTATTTGTTCGCTGGGTTTTGGGATTCAGATATTCTTCTTTTTTTCTTGGCTAAATGTAGGCCATCAATAAAGGTAAATTGCAAAATACTGTAACATTCAGGGTTCTCAAAAAAAATTTAAGACAACGAAGTTATGGTCCATAATGCATCTTTAATTTTAATTTGCTGAAAACAATGCCAAACACGACACTAAGGCTACGTTTACACAGCAGGCAAAAATTTGGGCCAAAAGTGGCCCAAATCTGATTTTCCCACCAAATGCGATTTTTTTGTTCGGCTGTTCACATTATCTTTTAAAATGTGACCTGTACGCAACATTAGTCTGAGCAGATCACACTCCTAAACCGACCCGTATGCGCGAAAGAACAATGCTTCACGTGGCGCGCTCGTCCAGAGGTAAACAAACATGACAGCCAGCGAATGCCTGTTGCTCCTGGAGCTTTCAATTTTGTCTTCGCCAGCATCACAAGAGCGATTATGGAGTTCCAATAGTTGACAGCAGGGCTCACCACCCACAATGCGTTCGAATTCGCTGTAAAAAGGGCACGTTATTCTGCCACGGCCACTTCTTTGGTTCACGTCCTCGGATTCTTTAAACTGTTCTTTGATGCCGCAGCCTCGTTCTCCTCCAGTCACGTTCGGCTGTTTCGTTCGAAACCTCTTCGAACACGGAGCGGGTGCAATAAGTCTCTTCTAATTTTTTGGTACAGAAACATCAGCCTAAATGTTTATGAGCCGCAGCAGCGCAAAATTATGACGAATGTCGAGTTGGACCGGCTTCACTTGATCGGGCAAGTTCACGTGGGGGCTGCAGTGTGTTGACAGAACAATGTAACAGACCAAACTCAATTCACTTTAATATTTAACCCCTCGCCACACAAAAATGGTTTTATCCATTTAATGGTTTCATTTGTTGACAAATGACGTCAGAGCGAGGCGCACAGGAAAATGTCAACGAAGCACGAATACGAAGTAAAGCGAGTCCGCAGCTTCATTCCGTCACGGAAAACTTAATTCTCATGGGTCGATTTTGACCCCTTGACCCCTCTGTACCCGAGATGTTCTGTAAACTTTGTAGGGAATAACCTAATAATCCTTTTTTTTTGTCAGAACTACAACTTCTAAGAATAAATGTCACAAAAAGTCTCCGTCACATTGCGTGTGTGGCAGCGAAAAAAGATGCTAGCACGTCTGGGCTGCTTGACATGTGAATACGACGGATGAACAGTGAAGCCGATTCCAGGTTGACCAAGTTAGTCACAACAGCATATCACACGGTTAAAAGAGAAAGACCCTTCACCGACTACCCACATGAAATAGACCTTCGAATTAAAAATGGACTGGAACTTGGTAGCCAGTATTGTACCAACATGGCTTGCAGAAGGTAAGTTAATATTTGCCAACTTATGTGTGCAAATGTTAACGTTAAGATTATTAACAGCTTTAATGTGAATTTATTTATAATAAAATACAAATAAAATCAATGGTAGGAATTTGAGCAGTTTTTTTAAAAATGTTTTATTTTAAGAATAAATAACCATAACTAAATATATTAGTTTTGTGTGCTTATTTACCTTAAAATACAAAAATTTGTTCGGAACAGTAACAATTTAGTTCGGGACAGTGAATTTTCAGACCGCTTGCGTGAGTTAACGTTGAACCCTGATAAACTGTTCTTATTCACACACACACAACAACTGAACAACGACTTAGAACATGGCGTGGCAACACCACAATACATTTTGTCAGCACGTTCTTGTACAATATTATTTTTAACTGCACTGTTAAAATATGGAAATATATCCCATCTCAGGCTCCTAATATCCCGCTCACTCACAGCAGTGAACACAATGCTAACGAGGTGCCAGACAACATGTACTACCAGGGGAGTAGCAAACAGTGCCCTGCGTACTGGACCCTTACTAAGGCTGCAACGTATGACCTTCATACCTCGGAGTTAGACCACTTCTATGAAGCACTGGCTAACGTGTGCATGGACTGTGCTATTACCTCTAGCCTACTGCCAAGAGAGGCTAGTGGATCTAATAAATGGAACAAAGCTGCAACGCAAGTGCCACAGCGCTCTGCAAGGAAAGTAGCTAGCCTAAAGACTCAGATTTTACAGGAGAAGAAGCTACGGATATGCTTTCAACACCGATGTTGGACGCGGATCCCCCTCACTTCAATACGCAGGACAAAACTTCAAGTATATGCTGTTAATTACTGCTAAAGCTCTGTAGTCTAGAAAAGGTATTTGAGACAGACCTAATAGGACCGAGAAGAAATAATTAAAGGCTTGCGTAAAAGCACAGCACCATCTTACCAGCAGCAGGGCCGTTAACCTGACCCAGGTAGCCTGGCGGGGGCATGGGGGGCATAACCAGGTTGAAGGGAATAGGGATGTTCATTGAGGCCATGGGGTTTGGCCCTGCCCCAATCATTCCAATCTGGTCGTGAGTCTGGAAGTACATATTTGACGGACGTCCTATAAAAGCAAAGAAAGAAAATTAAATCTGTGTCCAATTTCTATGAGTATTCCAGCTTGAGAGCCGGCTGAGAAGTTGAATCAGACATGGTAGAGAAAGGTAAAAAATTTGTAAAGGGTACACATTGGGTACCATAGCACTACAAGCTCCAAACTGTGCTGTGTAGGAAATAAAAAGTATAAGAGGTGAACTGGGCTTCCTTACCAGTGCTGCTGCGATCGTACACTGATCCAGGTATCATGGCCTCTCTGGCATCATACATCGCAGTGCTCATGAACCGAGCTCCCTAAATTACATAAAACACACAACTGTAAGTAATATTACTTCTAACATAAAACCATACTTTTCTGAATAACTGAGAACAGCAGAGGAAACAAACTTTAGGTTTATGTGCATGCAAGTGGGAACCAATTTTGCCCTGTGCAGGTCATCTGGCTGATTTTTCCTCCCAAAAGAAGTTGAATAAACTGAGTAAAAAAATCTATAACAGCTTGAAACAAACCAATGCCCTAAAACAGACTTAGACTGAATACCTCAAGACCAATACCTATGGTATCGAGAGATACCTGCAGAAACTCCTGCTTTGTTATTGGTGTGTATGTGTGTAGTCTGGTAGTGACACTCACAGGGTTAATAGTGTTGACAAGCTTCCGAGGTTTGCTGAACTGCATAAGACTCTCTCTCAGATTGTTGAGAGGTCCCTCCACCAGAACCTTTTGCTCCTTGTAGTAGTTCAGCAGGTGGTTCCACAGCGGCTGCTTGGACAGAGCTTTAGGATTCCCCACAATGATTACACCATACCTGATACCACAAAACATACATAGATTTACTGATCGTTGCTAACATGGAAAAGACACTTCCAGCCTGTCAATACTGAGTATTTCTTGATCATCAGTCAGTCATTTTGGAAAAGCAGCCTGTAGGTATGATTTAGCTGAAATGAGATATTCACCATTCCCCAATTCATGGCAAATCTATGATTAATCCCACTCTTGGAATCATCATTTTCAATAATGATTAAGCACTCTTTAGTTACAAAAAGGCAAATAATAGGATAACTAGGTAAAGGGTTACCTCGCCCTGGTGAGGGCCACGTTGAGCCTACGCGGGTCATTGAGGAAGCCGATGCCCTGGTGCTCGTTGGCCCTGACACAGGACAGAATGATGAAGTCCTTCTCTCGGCCCTGGAAGGCATCCACGCTAGCTATCTCCACCTCCTACAGAAACACGAAATAAATGGAACACAATAGTAATCATACATGCCACTATCCAGCATTATATCTGCCAGAGCAGTTTACTACTGTCTTATCTACCAATGCACACAACCATTGGCAAACAATTATGGAGAAGTGTTGTTACAACTAACAGGCCTGGATGATGGCACTTAACCTTCAAGAGGGGGAAAACACACACACACACACACACACACAAACAGAAAACAAATACCTCACCAATGCTAATGAATTCCAATAATATTACCTCATTTTCTTTTACCAAAGTAAAACTACTTTGATAATAGTGGAGTTTTGTCTTCCTGACTTTTCTGAAATTATGCAAAATAAATCTGGGTTGGTCTGCCACCTGAAGCAGCTCTTTCAGTTTCCTCATTTCAGAACATATTTTTGCTTATTGTAATGTGAATAAAAGTAAAAAAGTATCATGCATTGCTTCGTTCAGAGTGGCATTGTGAAACAGCTATTGGATGGTTGCAAATATTCCCAATAAAACCCAAACTTGTTCTTCCATGCGTCTGTAAGAAGTTGTGTGTAATATTTTTTTCCCCTGGGGAGTTGAGGGGTTGCAAACCCTAAACTACTTTTTTGGAGGGTTGCGGCATGAGATTTAGGAAGCGACCAGCAGCACTGTCTACTGTTGGGATATTTAGCTTCTCAAATTTGCAGTAAATGTTTTCATGCTTTAAATCTAACAGAATCCAGACATGCAACACTGTAAAAGGAGTAAATACATGCTGAACAGAGGACAAACTTAAATATGGGATCTCTCTGAAAATATTTGTGCACTATTTTTTATTTGCTGAGTTTAAAAGATTGGAAAGAAAGTGCCATAACTTATGCATTTTTTCAAAAAAACGTAGGAAACAAAATAATTGTGCATTAAAATGTGCAGAAGTTTGTTCTCTGTAGGAATGTGTACTTATTTCCACTTAGAAAATCAAAAAAAAAGTAATTTGACCAAGGGGTGTTCAAACTTCTGCATATAAATATAAGCTTTAACTTCCGAACGCTGGTCCCCACCAACCGTTCAGACCAAATTTACACCCGTCTAAATCTCCAAAATAAATGTAAAACTAAAAACTATGAGTGATTACAATGAGCAAGGACGGGCATTGTGCAAGTGACTGCGTGTACCTGGTACAGCTTTGTGTGCAGAGAGCCACTAAACTGCATGTATTGCACCAGATAGGAACGTTGTCCCTCGTACGGCGTGATGATACCGATTTGGTCAGGTTTGGCTCCAGCCTTCAGTAGGCGAGTGGTGATCTTCTCCACATTAGCAGCCTCGGTCCTGTACAAAAATCCCCATAGACACGTCTCATTACCTGCTCTCAGTGGAAGCCAGGTGCTACTTGCAAGGACATTTGATAAGAAATATTTCTAATACTTCAGCAGTCTACTCCACTCAACTCTTCTGCAGTACCATTTCCAGGTAGCATTTCAGCCACAAATGCCATTTTTAAGAATAAAGTAGTTAAACTAATAGTGTGTACCTGTTGAGGTAGGAGGTGCCTGAGCTAGCGATTTCCTCCTGGCCCTGCGTCACATAGAAGAACATGGGCTTATCTGGCTGAGGCCACTGGAAATCAAAGCCTTTCTTGAGGCGGTCAGCTAAAGTGGATGAGGAAAAGAGAAAAAAAAATTAATACAAATAACAGACTGTTTTAACAGATGCCTGGCGCATCAAAACACAGGTTCACACTCTGATATACACAGAATACGCAAACATTCGTTGTGCATACCGGCAGTGACTCCATTTTGGAGGGATCCTTCATAGAAGATGTTGGAGGGAAAGGCGCTGAGTGCAGGGTGCATACGGTACTGCACCTGGAGACGGATGGGTCTGATGCCCAGCACCACCAACCTCTCAAACAGGGACTGAGACAATCCTGCTTTAGCTGCCTTTTTACACATCACCACTGGGCCCAACTGACAGTGGTCACCCACCAGGATCAGCTGATAAGGGGCAGAGGTGAGATGAGTTAACAACGTTCATTTGTGTCCATCAGGCATAGCTGAGCTAAGTAAGTTTTTTGGCTACAATCCTACTGGTGATACTTGTACTTAAAGGGAAACTGTACCGATTACTCAAAATTTCTGGACAACTAAATTTTTCACATGTAAAAACCAAGTCATTCAGAGTGGTTTAATGTGAAAGGTGAGTCAGAATTGTTCACAGCATTGGTGATAGGAACCAGTCATCCATTTAATGCTTGTAACAGTTACCTCTGAATACTCTGCCTGAGGCCTGAGACGTTACTTAATGTTAGTTTTGAGACACAGTTTAGCACTAAACCTTTTTATTTAATGGCAGAGAGATGCATGCATGTCGTTGTAAGATAAAATAGGACCCAAGAAATTTTTTTTGCATTATCAACACACACACAAAGACACAGAAAACAAACATAGGTCAATGGTCATTCTGGATAGGAAATAAAATTATATCATACTACATTTGTGACCCCTACTTCCTATCATCAGCGCTGTAAAGAAAATCTCAGCAAGTTTCTCTACAAAGCACCACTGGACATCAAAGCACTGTGAATGGCATTGTCTGCATGAAATTACGCAGACCTATTGAAAAAAATTCCCCTTTACCCTGTTTTCCCCCTAACCCTTTACAGCATCAGTGTAAACTCATAAGGGGCTGGTTTACATGAATAAGGATTAAACCTAGTCTTGCCAATAGTCCAAATTAAACCTGAAATCAACACTGGAAGTTATTTTTAGTCTACAACTAGGCTTAATCTAGGTCTGGGAAACTGACCCAATGTTTACTTGGTCTAAGAGTGTACTCTATTTAGCTTTACCAAGTCATTAAGTCAAGTGAAATCCACTCGTTTGAGTAGTACCTGCTTGGCTCCCAGCACTACAGGTACCATGCACTCTGGCTCAGTGGCCTGGGTGCTCTCGTCTATCAGAATGGAGCGGAACTGCATCTTAGCCAGGCGAGGATCACCTGCACCCACACAAGTACAGCAGATCACATCTGCATTCTGTGAAAGAGAAAAAGTGAGGGAAACAAAGAGGAAACCCGTCAGAGTTCCAGTCATCAAAAAAGAAAGTCTCTATTGTGCATTATCGGAGAATATTGCTTACAGGGGTAAAACCATCTTAGTAACTAGTAACTGACTCATGTTTTCTATGTTTTGCAGAACATCAGTTTATTGCAAATAAACACGTTTCGTGCACAATGGCCAAAAGGGAAACATACCACTAAAACACACAGGGTTACGCTGCTTTTGTGCAACACTGTTTCCAATTTTAGCACTAAATGAATTTTATTTTAATTCCAAACCAACAGTATATGTTCAGGAATGCAAACAGGTAAGGGGTAAAAAGAATGAGAACACATGTGTAAAGAGAAACAACTAAAAACAACCACGGACCCCTCTGCGTAGCCCAGTGTCATACCCTAGGTCTGATTTTTGAAACCAAGGAATACGTCTGTGTCGTCACAAAACCCAAAACATCAGGAGTTGACATTTTCACATTTCTCTACCACGTCACCTTAGAAAAACTGTGAGCTACACAGTTGGCTAGCTAGCTTAAGCTAACTACCTACCTAGCTAAGGCATCTATGTTGAATACCACAAAACTGCCACATCTTTATTCAACATTACAGATCTTTGTTAACACAGCTGGCCCTGACCTCCCTGGGGTCCTAAGCTAAATCTTACAAATGGTGCCCTCCTAGCTGACCCCTGAGCCATGTAATCCATCTGCAATTGCCACACAGTCACACCTGACACCCCAGTACTCCAACTACAGTTCCATTACAACAGTTCGCTTCATCAGTCAGCCTATGGCCCAATTCCATTTCACCCCTCATCCCTACCACATAGCCCTTACCCCTCCGTTTTGTGCGTTCACGTCTAGGGGTAGGGTGTCCCGACTTTTGTTGAGATAGAGGGGTAGGGTGAAGTGTTAGGGCTACATGGCCCTCCAAATGGAGGTTTTCCAGAGGCACACTCCAAACGGAGCGTAATGAGGAAAAAAAGAAGAACTGGCAAGATGGCTGCACAAGCAACCAAAGAAACCCAAACTGTGAGTACTTTCTCCATTAAAAAATGTATGATAAGCATTGTATTATCTTAATTTTATGCCGTTTCAGCATATTATGGACCTTCTTTTCATAACAAGCATAAAAAGTTAGTAGAATGCTGATGTCTCGGTATGAGAAGCTGAAGAACAGCTGACTTCAGCTTCATATCACTGAAGAATTAAGGGTTGGCTGACACAAAGGGCAGAAGGGGCCCTTGCGCAATTTGCCGGGGCTACACGACATGCATAGGGCCGACCAGCTCCAATTTTTATTTATCATTATTTTGGTCTGCTAGAGTTAGAATAATGAGCGCAACTGACCTCACGTTCAGCAGACTCCTCATGCTTGTTGTCTCCTCAGCTCACGAGTACGTAAAGATATATACTGAAGCCTTTGCCACCAGCATTCCACAAAGACCCGCCCCACTCTGCCTCTGACTGGCTAGTTCTCATTGCCTTCATTAGGAATGAGATGGTTAGGGTATGAATATCAGGGTCAAAGCCAATCTTATCAGAGGCAGAGTAAGGGTGGGAAGGTGGGAAACGAATGTAGTTCAGAGAGGGTAAACAAGTCTTTCAGAACTTCATACCCATTTCATAGGGCTAGGAATTAAATATGATTTTACATTGCTATGATGCATGCGCAGTAACTGGTCTTTTTTTCTTAGTTTTGAACACACCATTTCTGCTAATGGCAGCTTTAAACCAGAAGCATCACAGCATGGCCAGTAAAGAAGATGTTTCCATGGTAGTTTTGCTTCAACAGACGAGAAAAACGTGCTGGGAGTATATTTCCTATGTTTCCTATGGGGCGGGTCTCAGAATGCAGGTGGGGGAAAAATGCAAGCCAGAGAAGGTAAACAAGTCTTTCTGAACTTCAGTCATCCGACAACAAAATCTCACCTTGAATCTGCGCCAATCTCATAGGTGACCTATACTGATCTCAAAATTTCACTGAAAGGTTAGTAATTCGCATCTTTGCTTGTTTCTCAGTGCAGAATAGACCCAAAAGAAGAGAGAAAAAAAGTACCATAAGCAGCTCTCTTTCTGCTGTGCGTTTAAGGGCTCTGTAGCGTTTCTCATCTGAGGAGGACAGCTCTCCAGTCTCATCCTTCAGCTGCTGTAGCTTCTGCAGCTCTGGCATACTGAAAGCAAACAAACAAAATTATAAAGCCTTCATGTCCCTTTGTGAAGTGTACAGAATGGAATAAAGTCTATAAAAGAACGACAAAAAACACTGCTACATCAATCTACTGGCATTAAAAACATGTAACCGACTTTTGTCACTTGTACTCTAAAATAAACATATAAAGCTACATGGAACATGTAGCTTTATATTTATTTATTTATTTTTTTTTACCTGTCCATGTTGCGGATCTGGTTGTGCAGGGCGAGGAAGGACACGGGAGAATCAATAGCCTCACGACTCTTAGCACACAGACGCACTACCTTCAGCCCGGTCTGGTGAATCTTCTCTGTCAGCTGGTCCACAGCAATGTTACTGGGAGCACACACCAGCACTGGCCTGGCACAGAAAAAAGGGGAACAGGTAAAAGTTGGTTAACTGGCATTCCTACACAATTTTTAAAATACTTTTAAATGTCTTTTCAAGACCTAAGCACAGCAAATATAAAATAATAATATTATTATTTAAACTGCTCAACAGCACACACAAACTCAAATATGGCATGCATCAACATACATTTAATACAAACCTATTGGTTGGATAAGCATGGATATACACTTTAAGACTGCATGATCCTTACATAGGATCAGTGTCAGTATCACTGCGATTGACTATCAGCTTTGCCCAACTCCAGTCATTCATCAGTGGCCAGTTTCTGACCACAGGATTGCTGCCGGCTGTGTAATTTTGGTTGCTCCGAACTAGCTTAATATATAAAATAACCTGCTCTTTAAGAACCGTCTTATAATTGTGCAATTTTAGATCGTTTTTAACCACACGCACAAACTCAACCAAAACCACATGCCCAATACAACTAGACACGTATGCTAACAAAACAGATGCGCAAAAACAAAACAAACAAACAAACAAAAAAACCCACATCATTTTCTATCAAAGTCCATGTATGGCCACAGAATAGAATAACTAAGTATAAAAGTTGATATTGATTGTTTTTTTAACTGTCCTTGCAAAATAGACAATACAGAGACTGCACTGTCCTATCGTGTATATTTCAGCGCACACTGTGTTTAGCTGAGCGGCTGTAGCTCAGTTTCTCAGCATATTTGCTCAGTACCTGGAAGCACAGTGTTATTGTGAATGAAACACCTTTATTGATAACTGTCTGCAAGCAGAGCTGTCCGGATGGGCTGCATTTTACATAGTATGCCTGTGTTTTCAAGCAGATAAATTGCAAGCTTCGTCCTTACATGATGGTCTACTCAACCATACAGTGTGTCACCAAAGAATAAGATTGTCTGGCTTTAGAGGACATTCAACTACAGGTCAACCAGTCAATAAGAGGACTTCAATAAGATGTGAAACTCCACAAGTGAGGTCCACAGATGCATTTTCCTTGGAAGTGGTTGCTATTGTGACTGTGCTACAGAGACTGTTGTGGAAAGCGACCGATGAGGAGCATGAGAACAAAACTATGAAACATTCTTTGCTTACAGCTGTACAGAAGTGCTTTTCTGATGTGGAACACTCTACTGCAGTGCTACTCAATCCAAGGTCACTAATGTAACATAGCTAGTTATTTACAATCAGATAAATTTGAATGATTTAATTGTTACGTTTGCACTCATTTACATTAACTATATGAAACAGTGCTGCTCTAATACATAACTATAGTTTTTTATAGACTACTTACGTGAAATAACCATTTTATAGGGCCATGAAATCAATATGATTTTCATTTGCTGTAATGCATGCGCAGTAACTGCACTACTTCTGCTAATGGCAGCTTATAACCAGAAGCATCGCAGCATGGCCAGCAAAGCAAGCATTTTCATGGTAGTTTTGCTTCAACAAAAGAGAAAATGTGCTGGGAGTATATTTTCTACACGATTCTGGCAGCATATCAATCATGACAAATAGCAAAAAACAAGACTGGAATATCCACGGGAAACCGGTGCAGAACAAAGTCAGATAGTGAACACTCAGCCTCAGATGCTCTACCTTTACATACATGGAGCATCTGATATCTATAATAGGTTAAATTGGCCACAACTGATTTTGCCAGGTTCACTAACTGTTCACACGCCCATGTGTATGCACTTCTGTGCAGGAGGTTTTATCAGTCCTGATAAAAAGTCCTTTGTGGGCCATGACTGAGCCTTTTAGAGCAAAATATATTCAGTGGATTGAAAACAGTTTATGAAGGTTAGAGCATAACATCTTTAAAAGTTATTCAAGAGTTTTCTCTGATGCATTTTGTAACTTTCAAACGAGATATTCTTGTGCGTTTGTCAACGCATACCAATTCGTTGTGTGCAGAATTGAAAACCATCTTCCCCACATCACGCTAAAATAACAGTCAGTAGCTGGTTATTTTGCATATCAGTCAAACGGCCTTTTCCTCTCAAAGTAGGCAGCTCTTCACCATGTTATGTTTGGCTTGTGAGGTTAAGTGAACACTGGAACTGCGTTTAAATGAAATTAACAACTGAAATTACTTTATCTCTAGAGTAGCTCTAGAACCGAGCGAGCCTATGAATTTCAGACAATGCTTGTGGTACAAAGACCCAAAATACTGTGAGTTTAAATCTAAGTTTAAAAGGTGATACAATTACATGTTTCTTAATATTTTGTAAGGGTAATATTTTTCAATAGTTAGAAGAGACAGACACTCACAGTTTCTCACATCTCTGGTAGTGATCTATTTCATCAGTAATAAAGAGAACTTGTGTTGAAATGTATTTCCCTCCATAAATTCCACTGCAGGTGATAGTTTCATTTTCTATTTTAATATTACTCATACGCTTTACTGTGTATTCTTGATAAATCCGCATTTGCTGCTTGGTCAGTGAAGTGCGCCCTGGGTTTTAAGCCTGAAACCTGAACAGTAGTCTAAAAATAAATGAGTAACAGGATCACAGTGATATGCAAACTTAAAAATAGTTCAGTCTACCCATGTTAATTACGTGTCTTACCCGTTGCCCTGTCTGGCCAGGTGGTAAACAATGGTTGCTGAGGTGACCGTCTTGCCAGTACCTGGAGGGCCCTGAATCAGACTGAGAGGACGCTGCAGCACAGTCTTCACAGCATATACCTAAACAAAAAACATAGCATTACTGTTTCAGTATCAGTGACTAAAATAGATCGGAATTGATAAAATTAGAGACAGGTTATAACAGAATGCATCTGTATGTAGCATATAATTAATTAAAACTTTATTTACAGTTTGAGATTAAAATATATCCTATTGTCTATGGATAAACAATTGTATTAAACCAGTGGTTCTGAATCCTGGTCCTGGAATACCACTGCCCTGTGCATTTTATAGTTTAGCCCTGCGTGAGGTAAAGTATGTACTCTAAGACAAAGACAGAGAACCATCGCATTATACATAACAATCAGAACTGGTTTCACTGGCTAAATAAGATACTGTATCAAGCACAAGTGAGATGTTTGTGGTACTCCACATTGACATACCTACAAATAAGTACTACAATACAGTACAAAAATTTTAAAACGCAAGGAAAGTTAGTATTAACATTAATATAATGTTAAATAAAATAAAAACACTATTCTATTAGTTAATAAGCAAACACATCCTCATTGCACCATGTGTGTGCTCTAGGGGATGCATAAAGTAGCCAACTAGTCAGCTAATAAATCCACTAGCAGATGCTGTTGACTAGTCAAGGACAGGGCCTGAAACACAGCGGTGGCAAAAGTTGTGAACAAAAAAACTCTCCAAAACACAAAGTACTTTAGTGTGAAAACACACAAGATGAAACCAGAACCACTGCAGGCTGTGTAAGAAGTGCCAACTGTCAGACGTGCTAAATGACCAATTATGATCCGTTAAACCAATTAAACACAGTTCAGTACTGTTCGGCATACACATTACGATCTCATTTCCTTGCTACTTAGGGCTGCGAAACAAAATTCAGGAATATTTTAAAAATGGGATAACGTGAACGTAGAGCTGGGCGATATGGCCAAAATGTTATCACGATAAACAAAATTCATATCATTCAATATTGATACAGACCGCGATAAATGTCAAATCATTATTTCTTCAAGGAAAAGTTATATCGCGATAATTATCGTTATCGTTTTAGCGCCCAGCCCTACGTGAATGTGTTCATGCTACTGTTCAAGGCTCAATGGTATGTATAGATGACAACTGTTTGCTACTACCATTTAGCTTGACAAACAATAGTTTGTTTCCCATCAGACTGATAAAACCAGTGCTGGTTTAAATTTACAGTGAGAGAATCGTAAGAACTGTGGTGATTTTAGCATGCAATTTACATCAGACAGTCTGTATATTTCTGAGCAGAGTGCCTGAGGCTGAAACTGAATTACAACTTCTTCTGCAGTGTAAAAGCAAAAATGAATCATTGTACAAGTCCACAGGTCCTCACCTGTGAGTGGTTGAGGTCAGGCAGGCCTTGGGCAGTGAAGCGCTTTGGTAGCTGGCATTTAATGATCACATCCTCCACCTCATGGCCAAGTAGCTTGTGGTAGATGTAGCCAGATACTGAGGTTTCATCCACTGCAAATGTTTTCAGGGCACTCTGCATGCTTTAACACAAAGTAAACAATAGCTCAGGAAAGCACTATTGACCAATAAAACTAACAATACACATTTTTGATTAATTATACAAAGCGGGCTACAAATAAAACAAAACAAATGTAATATTCTACACTATATGTCACAAAATTAAATATAAAAAAAAATACAATTCAGCCTAAAATCACTTAAGAAACTACTAACCGGTCAAAGGAAGTGGATTTCCACACAAAGTCCACCTGGAAGTTGTGAGGCACCTCCACAGGAGCTCCAGCACTACTCCTCAGTTCAATAGCAATCTCATCACCATAGTCTGAGAAGAACTCTTTAAGGAAAACTTAAACATATTTGCCTACTGAAGACAGCTGTTTCTGACATTCAGGCTATAATGAGCAGTTTTACAATTGGCTGCCTGGCACCAATTATTTATTTATTTATATTTATTTATTTCAAGAGATGGCAGTTCAGAGCCACTAACAGGGACCTCTCTGGAAGCACAAATAGCTCACTAGCCTAATAATCCATGTTGCACTGCAATTACAGCAGCTTTGTCCTATGGAGTAAACAGGAAGGATACTGTCAGGGACCTTGATGACGTGTCCAATTCCCTTCCAGAGAGGAGCCATGTCTCCCTTATAACGCAGGCAGATCTCATCCCCTTGCATCAGACGCATATCTGTGACAGAACACATTCAGTTAAGCTTCAAAACAGATTCCATAATTTTTCACATTTAATATGTTTGATTTTATAAACAACGCAAAACTGATTTTATATCCATCACATACACAGAGATACACCACAAACACTTACAAAAACCCATTAACACCAACAGCCTTGCATACCCTCATGCACACACAAACATACATACACACACACACACACACACACACACTGGACTCGTCCGTGCATACATCGATGAGGGATGCATGGGGCACGGAGTTGGGGATGGGATGGATATGAACCACTGGTAGACACAGAGGATGACGAAAGTAAATATTACCACCTGAATCCGTCTTGGGAAGTGTGAAATAAGCAATCCTCTTTTTATTCAGTCCCAAGTCCCACCTGACAGTTATATTGTCTTGGGTCTGAAAGCGCAAAAGGGAGGAAAAAAACTAAATTAGGAATATATGAGTACTTCTCACTGTTTATAACAAGAACTGTGCTATTCTCTTGTCAACAACATATTTCAACCATCCAGCAAACAAACTCTATTAATGATGATGATTCACTGGTATAGAGAACATATAAGCAGTTAATGTTAGCCCACCTGGGACTCTTTGAGCTTCTTATCATAGTCTGCCTCCAGTTTTACAAGTGGGCCGAAGATGTTCTGGTACTGGTAGGCATCCTCATAGCGAAGCAGCACATGCTGAGGCTCCTCGTCCACACCAGGCTTTTCCAAATCCTCAAGTGTCGCTGTAGGATTTTCCTACAAATCAGATACCACACACGGGGTTGAAGCCAAAACCACCCACTCAAATAACACTAGCAGCCACTAACATGGCTATAAATGTATCTGTGACGTGTATACAAGTCAAGTTCACAGAAGTCCTTGCCCATGTTGACTATGACTTAAGTACTATAAAGATTAGATCTTTCACAATCATACAAAGTGTTCAGACTTCTAAAGCCCAGAAAAGTTGTGGGCAGTGGCCTCCTGCACCTTCCACAGCTCCTCCAGTTTGTTGATCTGCTGAGCAGTGATCTGACGCGCCCTCAGCTGCTCCTGTTCAGACGGGATCTTTACCAGCCAGGACAGAAAGCAGCGATCCTGGATCAGAGGTTGCCACTGTGAGCTGTCCCAGTTAATGTCCTTCAGACTGCTCTGACTGGCACATGGCTGCCTAAACACACAAACAAACACCCATGTGAGTGATTAGCACTTTGGTCAACAGCCCCTAGACAGCCTTATTTTAAAACCTGAGATGTGAGATGCAATACTATTCATGTATGCTCTACTTCTTCTTTACTCCTAACAAAAAATAAACCCAACTATTATAACAAGCTTATAGTTTTGATCAGTCTCAACATTGAAAAGTTATAAACCATTTAAACGTCTACTGCCACATAAGCTTACTGCATTAACTTTTAACTCTACAGAAAAAAAAGAACACAGATGGCTTTACCTGCACAGGAGCACCACAACAGAATCAGCCTTGGCTGGGATGAAGCCCAAGAGGAAGACATTACGACAGCCACAGTTGTAGCATTCCAAAACAGTCTCCCCCAATGGGCCATCTTTATGCAGGGTCACCTCCTTACATTTGGCCCTCACCAAGTGATTGACAATATGGCTGCGTGAAACAAAATAAATAAAATGCAAATAATCAAATTATATAAGAATATTACATATACTATATCAATAAATGATAAATTTTACATATAAAAAAGAAAGATAAAAGCTTTTCAGCCTACCTGCCAGAGGTGTTGCCACGACCATTGCAGAACCATTTCTTGCTGGTGTTGCAATACACTACACAAGCAGGATCATGGATGCCACAATAACTTTAGGGAAAAAAATTGCCATTGAATCACCAACCACTGGGTAAATGATATTCAGGAACCAATACAACATACAAATAACATACATTTACTATATTTTCATAAAGTCTGTCGACATCTGTTCATCCAACTATTATGCTTAACACTAGATGCTAGAACACTGCTGCTTGAATCTGATTGAATTTAGTCACAAGACCATTAGTGAGTTCAGCTACTGATATTGGATGATTAGTGCTGGATCACAAACACCACTCCAACTCATCTCAAAGGTAATCAATGGTGCTCTGTCTTTCAAGAGAATACAGTTCCACAACCCAATGCTGGGGACCCCTCTAGCTGACACTTGGCTGGATATACTGACCATACACTTATATGTGGCTGATCCAGAGCATCTCATTCTATAAGCAAAGATTTTCTGTGAAGATTACATATGCCGTCTGTGCTCCAACTAACTCTTCCGTCAGCAACGGGTGTAACTTTTTATTGACGTTCATTACAAAGAACCTCTTTTGAATATATAATGGTCTAAATAAACATAAACATTAACAGAGGTCACAGAAACCTCAAAGTAAATCTAAGGGAAGGTGAATGTCACCACATGGTTAGTCTACCTGCATGCATGCACAGGAAGATCCTTGGTGTAATAGGTGTCCTCCTCATCTTCTTCAAAATTCAGCTCAGCCAGAAGTTGACTGGTTTTCACAACAGCATCTTCGCCGTTCTGCGATACTCCGTCTGGTCCGTTCACCTTCACACACACAGAAATTTTAAACCAACGTTTAAATTTCAGGGAAACCTTAAAGGAATAGTACACGAAGCCAGCATGTCACTCGGGCGAGCTCGCGTTTCTCCCCTGTTCAGCTAGCTTAGCCTAGCTTAGCTTTGCCAGCTGTTGTCGCGCTAACTTTTGCCAACCTGACTAATTAGCTAGCCAAATGAACACAGCCCACAGACTTGCAGTTTGAAGCAACACAACGCAAAAAGACAGCCGGTCGTTGTACGAATAGTGTTGATAATGTAACCTATAAGTGTGTTTCTGTCAGATTCAATCTGGTCGGCGAGGCTATGCGCGCTAGCTACGCCATTAACATTGGCACGGCTAGTTGGCGAGGCTTAGCTTTTAGCATCTAGCTTCGCTGCTAAGCTAACTCACAACGCTATTTTATAACACGCAGAAAATAAACAAGCCCGCTAATTCCGCTAGCCAGCTTGCTAGCTAGCTAGCTAGCTTCGTTTTTTCTGCATTCAAGTCGGACGGGGGGGGGCGATGAATTATTTCACGGAAAAGGATGAATAAAAGGAAAAGAACCTGGTTGTCCAACTGGCTCTGCGTTTGGCCTTGCGTCTGAGTCTGACTCGGCAGAGTGAAGTCGGTGAACTCGAACTCCGAGCCCTGGGTATCGGCTCCAAGCAGCTCTGCTTCCTCCGTGTCCAGGAAGGTGAGAGTCTGCGAGCTCGGCCCGTACGCCTCTACACTCATGTTTTCATATATTTATATCCCAACTGGCGACGTGTGCCTTCTCAATTCAAGCCCTCAGACACAAACTCAATGAAAATGTACAAAAATCCCGAATGCGTTCGCCGATATTGTTTTCCTTTAAACTTGGAAGCGAGCGACGTTTCTCAAATGAAAGCACATTCGGTTCAACTCCCACTCGAAACGGTGACGTAAACACCAAGCACCGCGCGAGTTGCACACGTAGAACGCAAAGCGGGAGTGACGTCGCACAAACTTGCACACATTTTTGAAAAGTTGGCGATGAGCGGGATTTTCTTCTCAATCAATCAAGTAACAACAAAGCTGATATCCCGATACCGCTGCTGGCCATTTCAAAGTCTTCTTGCATGTGTAAAAATTTAAATTGTTTTGTGTTTTCTTGAGTAAAAATGTGGACATTTTGTGTGAAACTAAGGATGAGCCGATAGGTCTTTATGCCTTGTTATGAAATGTAATTCCTTTTATTCATGATTCCTAATTATGCATAAAATGTTAATAAGAACTATTTCTATCTGGATAAGCATTGCAGAGAAATTTATGTAGGGTTAGAAATGCAGTAAAAAAGTAAAATGCAGATTTTTTTTAGCATAATTGCCCAAGGTTGCCTAAACATTCTGATCTTCCATGGTACAATGAATACATCATCAAATACTGGTTTGAAATATTGGTCAAATCTAAACATCTGTCTGATGTCAATCAGACATTTTAAAGTAGTTTCCTCCCAAAACTGCTATGATTACGATATTAACTTTATTTTTGCATTAGTATAAACTAAACTGCCACATAAGTTGACTGTTTACAGATAATTCCTTTTTATAATGATCAGTAGCATTGATGCTATCTATTCACCCATCTCTACAAAATAGTAGTTTGCTGCTAGAATCCAATTTTTTCTTTAGACAAAAAAATAACAGTTCCAGATAGCGGATTCATGAACGGCTTATCCCAGTAATCACAAGTTGATATTACATGTTTAATAAAGTAAAAAACATTGTGTTGACATGAGGAGCCTTCAACTAAAGTGACAAACATTTCTTCCTTTTATAACACTGTTACAAAGCATCTTTCCCAAGTAATGGAGCTTATAAGGCAGGTTGCTAAATACAGTATTCAGTGCTTATGCATGTGGTATGAATTTAGTATGTAGGCAGCCTTCAAATTTTATAATAATAACAACAAGGTGAAAGTTCATGAACAAAGTTTGAGATGGCTTGCTGGTTGCTAAGATGTTGCCAGGCCATTGCTATGGTATCCCAGGTGGTTGCTAAGGTGTTGCTAAGTTATTATAGATGGTTGCTAAGGTGTCATTTGGACATTGCTATAATATCACAGGCGGTTGCTAGGCCATTGCCATGGAATCCCATGTGGATGCTAAGGTGTTGCTAGGCTGTTGCTTTGGTATGCTAGGGGTTGATAAGGTGTTGGTAGGCCATTGCTATAGTATCCCAGATAGTTGCTAATGTATACACATGCTAGTATTTTGCAAGGTTATTCATGGTTGTTAGATTTGAAATTTCTCTACGTTCCACTATTATTTTCCTAAATCTTTATATATATAACACCTTTCATTATATTTACAAAATCTCAAAATGTTTTACACAGAAATATAGGTAAAAATTGGAATGATATAAACACTACACTGTATGTGTCTATATATATATATATATATATATATATATATATATGTGTGTGTGTGTGTGTGTGTGTGTTTTATATAATTGCTCTTTCCTGAATCGTCCATTGAAAAACAGTGTGTATATATATATGTACATGTGTATGTGTATATATATATGTATATATATATATATATATGTATATGTATATATGTATATATATATATATGTATAGGTATGTATTTATATATATATATATATATATACATATGTATGTATATATATAAATATATATACATATATATATATATTAATATACCATGCCACTATATAAATATATACATATATATATATATATATATATATATATATATATATATGTATATTAATATACACCATGCCACTCAACCATTAAACAGGGTCTTGTAAAAGATGAGGGGCTTGCTCAAGATGTCACACGTGAAATGCCCAGGTCACCACGAGAGACCCTAGCAAAAAAGTATTATGTGTCGCATTTCATGGATGGGCTCACCTC